GGCCCTAACTCCCAGCCGCAGCTGCTGCCTGCAGGGCACGCCAGCTGGCACAGCAGATGCTGCAGGAACAGGATTTCTTCAGGCCAGCTTTTCAGCTGATTTTTACACTGTATTTATCGTTATATACACCAGAGAAGTGAAACCCTTGGGGTCTTATATTACCCCTCCTTTTAGTGCAATGCAGTTAAAAAAATAGAAAGCTGATTTCTATGTGATTCAAGTACAATTTGTCAGGGATCAAACTGCTCCAGGCATCACAGTCTGTCCACTGGACCTGTTCTTCAGGAACTGGCTGTGTTTAAACTTCCTTCCCTGCCACCTGGCTCTAAAAGGCCTGCTGCTATCTCTGCCTCCCTGCATCAGTTACTGCTGAAAAAAACATATTTAACACACATCCTTGCACTCCAGCTTCTCACCGGTCGCCTGGTGATGCTGCTGGCATTGAGTGCTTCGGAGAGAGATGGTACCACTTCACCACGCAGGGACCTTCAGGCAAGAGTCCCGTTCATTTGTAAGGGGGCCACGAGGTCTGAGCTAGTCCAGAACAGCTGGGTCTCTGTGCCACGAGCGGCTTTTGGGCACGAAGGAGGGAGGCCGTTCAGTGTTTTTCTGACTCCCCTCCCTGTTCCTCTCAGCTGTGGCATGAAACTGCCCTGCAAAATAAAAAGACGTGCCAGAAACACCGGTTCATTTACAGCAGGGCACGTGCTGTCATGCAGCCGGGAGCTCCTACTTCAGAAATTAATGCGCTGTTCTTTCTGCCTACGTCTAGTTTTGCATGTCACAGTTGCATATGACAATTACTGAGCTGTGGGTGCAGGGAGTTATTACTTTATGGTATGGATTAAGACTGCTCTGCTGGGGAGTGGGCTTTGGCCTCACATAGGGCCAGGACCCAGTGGGCAACTGCAGAGGCCAGGCTGGGCAACCTGTGAGGTGAGCTTCTTCCCCGAAGAGCTTGGCCAAAACCAAGTCACAAGTCAAGGCATTCCAGCTTCTCAAGCAAATTAGCTCCCTTCCAGTCTCTTTTGCTACTGATGCAGGTCAGGATTAAAAAAAAATACAAAATAAAAAAAAAAATCACTATTAGAAAAAAAAAAAGAAGCACTCACAGCTTCTGGGGGTTAATGGGCTACAGAGGAACCCCAGCAAGACCAAGTTTTAGGAATCATGTGAGCTTCAGCATCCAGCTCCCACAGCTAAAACCTGCACTTCTGGAAGCACTGCAAGGCTGTCAAGTTTTGATACGGGAACAAAAGAAATCTGATGGTAGCGATGACGTTTGCGCTGGCCTCAGTGACTCTGGGTCAGCAGAGCCAGGGCACTTCTGCCTTTTGATAGCAGGAACCAGATTTCAAATCAAACCTGAAGCACTGGCCTGCATAATCCTGTAGACCAAAGTGATTTAAAGGCAATAAAACCGCTGTTCTAAAACTTCAGTCAACTCTTTTCTAAAATTTTTCTCTTTCATTTACTGGGGCCAAAAATAGCTGGCCAGTTCTGATCTTGTTTTCCCATCAACATGGTCACGTCCCTCAGAGCCTGGAACGCAGATTCAGTTTCACACCAGCAACTGGGCTAAGTAAGACTTTTTCCCATCGGAGAATACTAGCTGCATCAAATAATTGATGGAATAATTAGGGTATTACCAAAGTGCTGTCAAGTATGGACCTAAAGAACAACCCAAAACCAGACACAAAATTATTACTCCTAAATGAATCAAAAGATTTAAAAATAATAATAATAATAATAATAACAATAATAATAATAAAAATAAAGATCCTAGGACTTGACATGAGCAGCACAACTGGGGAAACACCCCCAAGCAGGTGGGTCTTCCACAGTCCATGTCTGACCTGGGAAGAAAACACAATACGATCACCAGCACTCACGCAACCTGGGTTTACAGTCGAGGGTGAGCTGCACTCAGTCTCCCCGGTCAGGTTATTCCTCTAGGAGGCACTATGTTAATTACAAAAATACAAAAAAGAAAAAAAAAAATACAGCTGCATAACTGCATAGTGGTCATCTCTGAGCACTCCTCTAGGAGTTAGCTGTAACTGTTCACATAGGCACAGGGAGGGGTAGTGTCGGGGACAGACTGCAAAGTCCTCGGAGCAGGACACGCACGGTCATATGGTCACAGAGGCTACTGGAGAGTTAATGTGGGTGGCAGTCAGGTGCTGGTTGTTGTCAGTGGCGCACTTGGGGAAGTCATCCGTCTTACAGAGGATCTTGGAAATGATCTTGCGGAAGGTGTAGCGGAAGTCCCTGATCCTGTAGGCATAGATGATGGGATTGATGACAGAGTTGGCATGGGAAAGGATGATGGCCATATACATCACCCACACAGGCTTGGATCTGGAAAACTCCTCATGGAATAGAGTGATGCAGTTCAAGATATGCAGAGGCAGCCAACAGAAGGCAAAAAGTCCTACAATGATGGCCAGAGACTTGGCTGCGTGGACCTCCTTCTGCAGTGTGGTCCTGGAGTTGCCCATCAGTTCGATCTGATGCAACTGTTTGCAGGCAACCATGAATATCTTAACGTAGATTCCCAGCATGATAACGAGCGGAAGCAGCACGCAGCCAAAGAAGTTGAAATACACCATGTAGCTCATCGTTACGACGTTCTCGAAGAGGCATGAGATGAAGCAGCCATGGTGCTCTGTCCCGGTATCAGCCCCTGTCTCGTTGGTGGCGTTGGTACAAACGCTCATGGCTTTATTCCAGCCCATAAGAGGAGTCAGTCCAATTCCAAAGGACAGGAGCCACAGCACAGCGATGAGTCCTCTTGCCCGCTTGCCAGTCACCAGACTATTGTACCTACAGCATCAAGAACAAACCCAAGACAGAGCCATTAAATAACTGAGCTCTCGTGACTTCCCAGCAGTTAAAGTCATCAGCATTTTGGTTAATGCCACAAAAACCCCACCCACACCCATGCAGGAACCTCATCTTTGTGATCACGGGAGGGGTAAAAAAAATCTCACCCGTGCTCTACACCTACACAAAGTGATTTGGGGAGGTGATTCACTTACTGTTCCTGAGAGGTGTCAAGCACCACCCCTGCCCATGAACATCCTTCAATAGGTAGTAAGGACTTGAGTCTTAAAAAAAGGCCTTATCATTGCATGAGCCTAAACTACAAGGAGGGCAAGAACAGGGGAAGGCTCACTCTGTAACCACCAACCTACTCCCTTGTTCTAAGCATCCATTACTGGGCACGCCAGGGCACGTTGCTGGGCTACATGAACTTCTGAGCTGACTTATTATAGCTGAGACAATGCTGGCTCTCAATTCTACGCTGTAATGGGTAGCTAAAGACAACCAGCATCACCACACACTTACAGCCTTTATACCACAGCCAACTTGCTTCGACTTGGGCCTCTCTTATGCCTGCAGCAATGCTGGCTTTCACTGGAGACTGCAGCAGTCCCATAATGTGATGTCCCTTCCCATGCTCCCCCATATGCTATGGTGGGAGGTACATATGTGTGCGGAAACCAGGGATCCTACCAGTTTCCCAAACAGTCCAATTGCTGGTTTACACATGCCGGACTGCAGCCCACACGAGCTTGTGTGTCTGGGTAACAAATACCCTGAAAGACTTTTCTGAGCCAGCATCTGAAAGCAACTGCTGATGATGGATTGCTTAGGAGGGTTACAAGTTAGGGTTTGTGTCTCCATTCAGAGTCTCACATCCAGGCGTGGAGCTGGGAGCCAGGGACACCGGGCTCTTCTCCCCCCATGTGACGTCCCTGCTTTATGAATCCTCCATCAACAGTGCTGGTGTGGGCAGCTTCGCTTAGCTCCCAGGGCTGGCGTTGGCCTCCACTGCTTGTGCAGGTGATGTGCCAATTCTGTAGGACACACACCATCGGGATGTCCTGAAGCCACACACAGACTTGGACCTGCAGCTGCTGAAGCCGTCGGTGGGGTTAAACCACAGAGCCACGCGTGCTGCTGCCATCAGGTGATGTTTGTGCTCTGCTGACCACCATAACTGGTTGTAAAGATCCAGATTTTTAAGTAAACACCTTCCTTGGGCACCTGCTGCTCTCACGTGTTAGGAAGAAGCTCCACGGTGGCCCAGGGACAGACTGATGCAGTTTGAGGGTGCAGAGCCATGCGCTGCCCCACACCTCACCTAACCCCACAGACTGTGTGCCTTCATGGCTGAGAAAACAAAGCTTGTGGCTGATGCTCAGAGACACAAATGGGGCTGGGACCTAAAGCAGCAAAAGTCAAGCTGGTTTGGGTGCAACCAGACCAGATGCCAACATCAAAGCATCGGTCGGACTGCTTTTTGGAGGTACGAAGAACCAGCGACTGCCAGAAAGACAACATGAGAAACCCATTACTGTCCTCTCCACAGCCAGTTAGCATCTGCTGGCTGACACACGTCCCCCCCTTCCCACACCCTTCTCCCAGTCCTTGTTTACTCTGGCTTGGCTACCCTGCTCCTCCTTTCCTAAGAGCGTTTGTTCTGATTTTCTTCCGGCCCGTGAGGCAGGGGAGGGTTTTATTCCCACAGAACCGCAGCTGTGCGTGTGAATCACTGCGGCCACCTCCGTGCGAGCCGTGTCTCCCTCTCCTCCTGCAAGCTACCAAGCCAGGAGGGTAAGTGGGGGGTCTGCCAGCACGAACTGGGAGGCAGAGAGGGGCTGGGGGAGCCCTCAGCTCCTTCTGCGCGGCCGCTGCGAGCGGGGCTCGCCTTGGGCATGGCCGGGGCTGGCTGAGAGGATGTGGGAGCAGCACCCACATTTAGGCAATGCTGAACTGTGAACAGACTCCGCGGGGTAGACGTCTGAAGGGCAGGACCAGCCACTGAGGGGTTTCTCCTGCACTTTTCTCTCATTATTATTAAATCTCGCTGCTTCGGAAGATGAGAAGTTATCAGACAGGGCATCACTGAGGCCAAGCCCATTTCTTTCAAAACCCTGTGGTAAGTGGTTAAGTGCCTGTTTTCAGGAGCCAGAGCTGGTCTGGGATTGTGGGGCCTGAAAATTTTAAGATTTGATTCGGAGCAAGTTCCCAGAAATCCAATCTCTTGGCAAAGTCTGAGTCTTGAGCTACAACATTGGCCAAGCTTAGTCAGTGCTGCAGGAGCACCAAGAGCTGCCACTGCCCTACAGCTTGGCACGTGGGAAGGAAAAAAAAACCACCAACCAAGAAAACCTGTGGCTCCTTGGCTTGCACTATTCAAGCTTAGTCGATCACTTCAGTTGCTTCTCGGCTGCCTCAGTCATGTCACATCCCCAAAACTATTGTAGGGAGACTGGCAAATGCAAAAGGGACCATTGATCAGGCAGGGAAACTGCAGAAGGGGAGAGCCGTGTGTGTCTGAAGCAGGCTCTGCATGGAAGACACGGAAAAGCCGCGGCGGCTCAGCGTGCCGGGCTGAGGCCGGTGTCCACTGCGCCACTCCAGGCCAGTGACATTCGGCGCTGCCTCTTGCTGAAAACATACGACCCCAAATAAGGCTTCTTCCATCTGCTCTTCTCCTGAACTCTTCTGCAAAGATAGGGCTCTGTTTGGAGGTTTACAAAACCAGTTAAGCAGCCACTTAATTTTCCAGCAGCTGTAATGGTGGTCTGTTTATTTTAGTGTTGCTCGCTCTTCCCCAGCGCACACAGCAGACCTGCAGCCAGGATCACGTTCAAGTGGGGGCCCCTTCTGCGAGAAGAAGGAGATGAAAAAAATGCTGTGCTCCAGGTCTGCAAGAGCCAGAGCTGCGCAATGGACAGGGCTGCAGGCCCGCTGGAGCCAGGACGAGGAGGTGCTCGTTAAAGTGGAGATAGCTACTCACAGGGAGCCCCTTAGATTAGCTCTTCATTTCTGCAGGGATGCATTGCCAATTCCTCCCAGCACCTCTCCGCCCAGCAGCCTGATCCCAGGTAATGACGATGGTCGCTGCTGTGCCTACAGAGAAGGGGCCCAGCTGGTCCAGCCAGAAGAGGCCAAGGTGAACCTGGGGATAGTTGGATGCTCTAAAATTCTTCACTAGTTACCTTGTTATTACCTTAATACACTTGCTTGGTGGGACACTGCCTTAAGTTAATGGAAGTTAAGCATGGGCTTAAAAATAAAGTGGTGCATGACTATTACCAGATCAAGGCACGAAGAGGCTCGTTGGCGAGCCCCAGCTGCAACCCCCATCACAAACCACCATCGAGAAAAGCAGGCATGGGCTGTGAGACAACTGAGACCCAACTTCTTTCCTAAGCTCTATAAAACATGATCAGGCAGTGAGGAACCAACAGCTTTTCACAGCTCTGAATGCTCCAGCAAACCCCTCCTTCATTCTCTTTTAGGCTTTATATTATTAGGCAAAAAAACTATTAAAGTAAATTTACTCACCTAAGTCTGCTCAATTAATGTATAACAGATATTGGATCTCGTCTATGCTTCTGCCCAGAGACATTGAATGTTGCTTTAATGTAAATAACAGCTGAATATTTTAAAATGATTTATTGAGATTAAATAACCTGGCAATGCATTAGTTCCTTTTACACTGCCAGGCAGAGTCTCTTTACTGGCGTAATCATCATCAAGGAGCTAATTATCTCAGCTCCCACCCGCTGCCCCTGCCCTGGGCACACTGCAGAAGCCCCGATGCCAACCCCGCTGCTGCCATCATTTCTATTCTTCCAACATAGGTAACCATCCGCTCGCCACCAGCAATAGGTCAAATACTTTAAGGAAAGTTCAGCTGCTTTTACAGGATGGCTCTGACCCACTGGTGTTACCGTGTTCCCGTGCCAGGCCGCTGGGTCTGCACCTGCTGTGCCGTCACCAGAATGGGTGCAGCGCGGCTCTGCCCAGCCACCGTGCTGTGGAGCGAGTGACCGCTCTGCCACCGAGGCCGGAGAAGATGTCCCCTGAGCCGGCCCGTGGGCTGGAGATGGTGTCCTTCACCCAGCACACATGGCTGTTCTCTGTGGCCTCTCCACTTCAGCAAGGTCCACAGCTTTTCTGGAAGAGCATCACGGCAACCACCAAAGCGACCGAGTCATGCCTTAGCGTGGGGTGCTGGGAACCTCTCTGCGTCCTCCAGGCGCTGTGCCGCTGGGTTGGTGGGATGGTCAGGGTGGTTTTCTCCAACAGGTCTCATTGCATTTCTACTGCTATGTACCAGAGCTGGTTACCAGCCAAGACCCCCAGGCAGGCCTTGCTAAGCACAGCTGGAGCAGAGCAGGACGTGCTGCCAGCCTGCAGCCAGCCCAGCCGCTCCCGGGCAGGAGTCTGGCTCCCAACTGGCAGGAACTGAGTCATGTCCTGCACGTACCTGGCATCTCCCCACCAACCCCTGCCGTGACCCCGTGGAGATCACCCCAGCAGAGGCTCCGCTGCCCCTGAGCTCCCGTCTAACGAGGAGCACACAGCAGCAGCCAAGGCGTAATTCAGCCTTTGGGGCGATCAGACTTGGGACAAAGACCAGCAACAGCCTGGAGGAGCCAGAAGGATGAACAGGTCAAAACATTGTGGTGCCACACACCCACTCTCCTGGTGCTTGGTGGAGTTTGATGGTGGCCCTGACCATGATGCTGGCCCAGGCCCTGGCTGATAGGTTACTGAGTAAATAAACCTGAACTTAGCAAAGAGCAGAGCCAATAGCAAATAGTTTGTTTTTCCCGAACATCTGAGACGCGTCGCTGAACAAAAGGGTGATCTGCAAGCGGAGGAACCGCGTCAGCATTTGCCACCATGTGCTCATTACCACTGTGGTGCCGGGTCCGCTGCACCAGGCAGCGTTCGACCATGCAACCCAAGCTGCCCTGCCCGGGGCAGGCAGGCAGGAGGTGACCCCTTTGACTGTCACC